AGACAATAGTCCTAACATTTGGGAAGTGGGTTGGCTTTTTGACTTTTTGACTTTTTTGGCTGGGCTCAAAAGTTTGATTTGGGAAGGACTTTTTGACTTTTTTGTCTTTTTTTGTGAGAGAAAAATGTAATGATTATGGATTGGATGTGATGTTTTGTCTGTTATGGCTCAAATAACCTATTTTGTCTTTTTTGACTCAAAGAGCCAAAAGAACCCAAATGAGCTCTTCCCAAACAAACGACACCTAAAGTGAAGCAATTCACCAAGACCAACAAATAACTTCATTATATAGGTCCCGCTAATGATAGTCCTAATGATTGTTAGTAAGTATCACAAAATGTCCGAATATTTATAATATCATTACATTTTCATACACTTTTTACATAATTTTTCAACATTGACGGCAGTCCTAAAGATTGTTTTTATCATTTTTCTTATTATATATAATAATAATTTTGCACTCAAAATCTGTCAAAACGACGTCGTTTTGACAGATTTGAGCCATTTGAGCCACAAAAATTTGAGCTACCTAGCATTGTCGTAATTAAAAATTGACATTCATCTTACAGAATTCAAATTCTTAAAATTGCGAATCTTATTTTTTTTTTTTCAGTAATGATATTTAAATTTAAAAATTAGACTAACTTTTTAAAATCAATGATGTGAAAATTTATTTAAAATATTTAAATCAACTACCTCTATAATATTTTCTTTAATTATTAATCAATAATATCTTTTACGCATCATTAAACATAAAATATAAATCTAAAAAGTAGATATATATATATATATATATTATTTTATTTTATTATTTATGAAAGGTCAATGGATGTCCATCCCACATTATTCCATGAGAAAATCATACTCCACTATGTAAGTTGACTAACTCCTTCAAATAAATACAATGCCTTTTTTTTAAAGAATCACAAAGAGATATGTATTTCAAATATTCTATCAAATATTCTACCAAACCTCTAGTAGGACTCACACAAATCCACATGTGTGTGGGTCTCACACCCATGTGAGAGGTTTGGTAAAATATTTGGGGTCCCTAACATAACTCAAAAATAAAATCGTAAAGATAAATCTAAAATAGATAATATTGTGTTAATGAGAGGTTAGTTGTTTCATTATTCAATGAGTGGTGTTACAAGTATCAATTAATGTATTAACTAATATACCAACATTAGTTATGATATTATTATTGACCTCACTCATTAATAACATTATAAATTTTAAAAATTTCTTAAACGGTGGTGCTACATACACCAATTAATATACACACTAATGTACCAACACTAGTTATGATATTATTATTGACCTCACTCATTGATCATATTACAAATACCAAAAATCTCGTAAATTATATCACATCATCAATTGGTACACTAATTGATACACTAGTTAGTACACTAATTAATACATATAATATTTTTTTTTAAAATTATGTTACATCAATAATTAATACATTAATTAGTATATATAATATTATTCTTATTCAATTGAATATCTTGACTTTACTTGTCTCTTAACCAATAACAACATTGGAGATGTTATGAGACAAATCTAATTGATAGTAGACCAGAGAGAAGACACCTTTTTTTTCTTGAACATTAAATAAAATCTATTCCACGAATAAGTATAATAATTTAGCGAATGATTGGAGCAATAGATTATCAGTGAAGTGGGACCCACTTTTTTAGTATAAAATGAGTAGGAAGTGCTTGAAAAACGGGGCAATATCAATGCATCAGCGATGCACGTGCCCCGACATTATTAGTTACATCAAAAAAACACCCCCATTCGTTGGAAGCGAAAAGCCCCCATTATCTTCTTTATTTATTTATTTATTTTCTTTATCTGATTTTTGATAAGCTGGCGTACATATCAGAACCGTTATTCCATGTCTCATGCACATGACAGACAAGAGTATGATTTGTTGTGCTGATTTAAAAAGATAGATTTAATATATTATTTAAAAATTAAATTTATAGTTATATTTTTATTTTATTATATTTTTTTTTTGTTAGAAAGGTAAAATTAATGACGTATGAAAATTAAATTTGGATTAATTTTTGGGACAATGATTGGTGGTTACAAATTCTATGGCTCAAATGGCTCGAAAATGTCAAAACGACGTCGTTTTGGGTACAAAACAATTCCGAAAATGCCAAAACGACATCGTTTTGACATTTTCGAACTATTTGAGCCACAGAATTTGTAGCCACCAAACATTTTCTTAATTTTTGTATGAAAATCTTTTCTATTTAGAAGACATTTTAAAATGAGTACAAATATAACTTAAAATATAAAAGGGATTTTTATTGATAAGTCTAATTTAGAAGTGTTTTAACCCAAGAAGTCCATGAAGGAATTTTTTAACCCATTTAGTCCCATGTATGTATAGTTTTATTTCATAAAATCCATTTTCTTGATTTATACTATTTTCTTGGACACTTATGCCCTTATATTTAATTTTGATACCCTTATAAATATTTTTTCAACGATTAGCAATTTAATGATGTGAACATTCATATTTTAAAATTCACATTTGTAGGAATGTAAATTGGCCCGTGGGCGGCCCAAAACCCGCCCGCGAGCCAGGGCGGGCCCGACCTGTTGACAATGTAAATATTCACATTGAGATGTTAAAATTCACATTAATAGGAGTGTAAAATTGGCCCCCGTCCCGTGGCGGCGCGAAACCTGCCCGTGGCCCATGGGCGGCCCGGGGTGGGCCCGATCCAGCCCGTTGACAATGTGAATATTCACATTGACATGTTAACATTCACATTGATAAGAGTATAAAATTAGGCCGCGGCCCATGGGCGGCCAAAAGCCCACCCGCAGCCCGGAACGGGCCTGGCCCGACCCGTTGACAATGTGAATATTCACATTGACCTGTTAACATTCACATTGATAAGAGTGTAAAATTAGTCCGCGCCTCATAGCTGCCCAAAACCCGCCCACGGCCCGTGATGTAACACAAAAAAAAATAAAAAAATAAAAAATAAATAAATAATTAGTGTAACACTCTAATGTAACACACAAAAAAATTTATTAGTGTACTTTTTCCAAACGTAACACTCTAAGAGCATCTCCAATGGAGCTGCTATTTCACTTGCCAAAGCTAAAAAATGACAGGCATGGCAAAAACAGGTCTCAATGGTATGTTATTTCACTTGGCAAAGATGGCAGATGCCATATGTGTTCTCAAATTTGGCAAGTGAAATAGCAACTCCCAAGCTTTCCAAATCAGCAAAAATGAACAGCAATTTGGCACCAAATTCAGTTGAAAACAACATAATTGAAGCAGTAGGAAACCCAATTTTCAGAATCAAACCCAATTTTCATAATCAAACCCAATTTTCAGAATGAAATTGACAAACCCAAATTCAATTTCTCAAAAAAAAAAAATTAAATTCATTTATCACCAAATCAATCAATCCAAATCAGATGGTATGCATTCACAATAAATCAAACGAAATCAGATAATCCAGTATCTCACAATAGAATGATCGGATGAACAAAAATTTGCAGAATGAAGATTGAGAGGGAGACAGATATCAAAACATATATATATATAGACAGATACTTGATTTGATGGATGAACAAAAAAAATTAATGAAGACAAATATCAAAAATTGATGGATGAACAAAAATTGATCAAAAAAATTAATTAAGAAAATTTGAAAAAAAAAATACCAGATTTGAGTTATTTGCATATTCGATTTGAATCCATCGCCAGCTTTGAGTTTCAAAAATCACAATCACCGATCCACATCAACAACCAGAAAAATAAAGCAAAAATCAACACATGAAGACTGAGAGGGAGACAGATCAAAACATATATATATGTATATAGATGGAGATCGTACCAGAGACAGAGAGTACACAGATCGGAGGTGAAGATTGAGAGGGAGACAGATCTGAGCTTCATAGAGAGAGAGAGAGACGTTTCGATCATAGAGAAAGAGAAGGGACTGGTTTGAGGAGAGGGAGGAAAGACAGAGAGATGGAGAGGAAGAGTGAAAACAGAGTGAGAGGAAAGATAGACTGAGAGACTGAGAGGGAGACAGACTGAGAGACTGAGAAGGAGACCGAGTGAGAGAGTCAGAGAGTCAAAGAGGGGTTTCAATCATGGGGGAGAAGTGGGAGTGGTTTGAGAAGAGGGAGACAGAGTGAGAGAATGAGAGGGAGACAAACTAAGAGAGTAAGAGAGGTTTCGATCATGGAGGAGAGAAGGGAGAGGGGTTTGAGGAGAGGAAAACAGAGTGAGAAGGAGAGAATGAGAGTGGATCATTCTAGATGTATACGTGGACGGTGATGCTTTAGTGTATAAGAGAGCCATTGTGCTCTGTTTGGTTTTTTTTTTAAATATTAATTATTTTTTACAACAGCTATTTCAAACGGTTATTTCCCAAACGGTAATATTTTTAATTTCTATAAATTGAAACCCTCCATGTCACTTTTCTACCACACAAACATTTAGATTTTATTTTTCTTTTCCCATCTCTTCTTTGAATTTGATTTCACAGCAAATCTCTTAAATTATTTTCTTTTTAGTTTTTTCATCCAATCACTATGGAAGGTTCATCAAAAATAAAGAGAGGAAAACCATTCACCATTGAAGAAGATATGACAATTTGTAAATCTTGGTGTCACATTTCGGAAGACCCAATTTTTAGCAATTCGCAATCGTATGCTCACTTTTGGGGAAGAATTTACGAAAATTATTACTTGCTTCAGAATGATCAGTCCAGAACACAAGTGTCTATTCAATTCTTTGCGCCTTGAGGTTAAGATATTGTTTTCACAATCATTGCCCAACGAGGATAGATACCATCAGCAAGATAACACCCCATGGTGTACACGTGATTATTGATGGTGTAGTTGGCAGCAGGGGCACGTCCTCTAGTTAATTCATTAAATAAAGGCGACCTGTCAAGAACAGTAATATCATTTAGAGAGCCAGGCATGCCAAAGAAAGCATGCCAAATTCAAAAGTCATAGGAGACAACTGTCTCGAGTACAACTGTTGGTTTATGATAGTGTCCAGTGTAAGCACCGGCTTGGGCAGTTGGACATTTATCCCAACGCCTATGCATACAATCCAAACTCCCTAACATTCCAGGAAACCCGTGTTGCTCTCCCTCTTGCAATAATCTGGCGACATCTGCTTCATTTGGAGATCTTAAGTAAACAACTTCATAGGTAGCAACAATTGATTTGGTAAAAAAATTTAAGGCAGCAATTGCAGTACTTTCGCCAATTCTAATGTACTCATCTACAGCATCAGCAGGCACGCCGTACTGGAGAATCCGAAGTGCTGCAGTCATCTTCTATACACTGGATAATCCAGGAGCACCAGTGGCATCACGGGTTTGGATGAAGTACTCATTCACTTGTTGAATATCGTATAAGATACTAACAAACAATGACCACCTCATTCGAAAACGTCTTCGGAAGTATTTTTCTGGATTATCTGCAAAATAATCTCTATAAATTTGTTCGTCGCCTTTGACCCTTTCATGATTAATGTATCGATGACCACTTGTGGAACTAACACGTCTGGTTTGTTGGTTTAGGCTTAACGTCCGTAATCTTTGTTGTTGCGCTATGAATAGTTGCATCATGATGATATCATCATCAGATGATGAAGATTCATCAAAATCTTCATTCAATGTGGCTTTAGTCAAATTGTTCATTGTAGGTGGATGGGTGAGTGGGTGAATATGAAAATTGTAGAAAATCTTCTGAATGGGTACAGAGAGTTTAGAAGATATGAAAATGATGGGTAGGTGAATATGAAAATTGTAGAAAACCTTGTGTTATATTTATAGAGAAAATTGTGGATGGGTGAATGATGGATGGTTGCTGGGTGAGTGGATGAATAATGGGTGATTGTTGGGTGGGTGGATGAATAATGGATGGTTGTTGGGTGGATAGTTGTGAATGAATGAATGCTGGGTTAATTACGGATGGTTGTTGGTGGTTGGTTGTTGGTGGATAATTGGTGATTGTTTATTTTTTTTGTGTGGTTAAAAAAAATTATTAAATATGTAGTGATATGTTTTTTGGTGGGGGTGAATTAATCAAACAATTTTTTTTTCCAATTTTTCATTTTTTTAAAATTTTTTATATTTGCCTAGTTGGAATAATATAAATATATAATTTTTTTAATAAACAGGTAAAAAAATGTCACAAAAGACAAAAAATAAACAAAAATAAAATCACAAAAAAACCTATATCCAAACAACACCTACAAACTTGGAGGGAAACTTGGTTGAGATTTGCCAAAATAGCAAATAATCATTGGAGAACCATTGCTATAATTTGGCAAAATAACACTATTCATTGCCAAATTAGAGCAATGGCAATAGCATTATAGCAATAATGGTTGGAGATGCTCTAATATAATACTCCAAAAAAAAATCCTTAGTGTGTTACACTAATGTAACACACACAAAACTTCTTAGTGTAATATTTTAATGTAACACAAAAAAATTCTTAGTATACTTTTCCTAAATATAACATTAAAAAAAAGGATGTAAGATTCTTCAAACCATTCTAAAAGAAGTACAAAGATTCCTTAATAAGTTTTGGGCAAATGTATAATTTCAAACTATAAGTGTTACGTTTAGAAAAAGTACACTAAAGAGTTTTTTAGCATTTTTGTACGTGTTACATTGGAGTGTTGTGTTGATTGGAGTGTTACGTTAGGAAAAAGTACACTAAAGAGGTTTTTTTTTTTTTTGGTGTAACATTGAAGCGTTATATTTGGAAAAAGTACACTAAGGATTAATTTTTTTTTTTTTAGTGGTACTTTATTTTGTTTGTGAAAAGTATACTATGAAATTTTTTAGTTTGTTATATTGAATGTTACGTTATTGGAGTGTTACATTAAAATGTTACATTTGTTCGTAATATGAGATTTGTTCGAAAATGAGAAAAAATTCAAAACTTCTACAGTAGGGATTGCCCAAATGTGTAATTTTACATTTTGAGAAATTCACTTTTATCCCTAAAAAATTAAACCCAAATATGCAAGTGACTACCATTTTTGTGTAATTTCCACTTTAATAGGACCTTTGGGCTCATAAGAAAAAAGAGAGGACTAAACAATTCTAAAGATCATATTTTGGGATTTATTAGTACTTTACCCTTAAAAATTTGGGAAGAAATTTTTAAAAAAATTAAAATTAAAATTAACAATGAATTATGAATAAAATATATGTACATTTCACATAATTTTATATATTTTTTCTCTTTTTTCTTTTAAATTTATTTTCAAATTTATGAATCAAACACAATCTTAGAGAATGGTTCATTTCTATATCACTATTTTTTATATTTAAATTTATAATTACTGTTTATTTTAAAAATAATATATGATTTGTTCATAAGTTTAGTAATGTCCGATAAAAATCTTTATGGTTGAATTTATGATGTAAATGGTTCAAATCATCATTGTAGACCCAGAATGGGTCCATGAAACAGAGTATGGAAGGATATGAAGAATAGTAATATAGGGAGGAGTTATTCTCTCATTTATGAGAGTGAATTTTTTCTAAATAAAAGTTTTGTTTTGTTTTTTTTCCCAAAAAAAAAAAAAAAAAAAAACCCCAACACCATTAGTACCAAATGAGACAAACATGATAACATAGAACAAATTGTACACAAATTTAACTAGTTAGTGTTGATTATTTTTCGACATGAACAAAATTTTAATATTATGAAGGGAAGAAATATGAGCCCAGGTCCAAACCGAATCACACTAGTCCGAAATAAAAAGGAATACATCCAAGCTCGTCCCTTAAAACCCACGAAAGACATCTGACAGCAACTTGGCATCCAATTAAGGTGCGTGGGAGGACAAACAAATATAAAAGATAGCCTTTTAGAAGGCAAATCTGTAAAATAAATGGGAGATGTCGAATTAGGTGTCATCCAACGGTGATGAACGTAATATAGACAAGACTAAAGTGTAGGTTGGGCCTAGTAGGAGAAGGGGTCATCCGATCAAATTAATCCAATGGACATAACGCTCAGACAGCTGGCCACTAACGTCTGATAGCATCTATGTAACAACCCCCACCTCTGATTAACGTTAATCCATGATTAATTGTGTCTCATAAGTAATTAAGATAAAATTTTGCATTCATTACATGTGTTATGTGTTATATGAGTTTCTATCTGTTCTGTGTAGGAATATTTGTCTCTGATTTTGTTCTATTCTGTAAATTAAAGGCCTTATCAGCATCCGATCACGAAATTGACTTGATTTATGTGTTATTTAGGATTTTTGAAAAATTATGGTAGGCTTAATTAAAATTCAGTTTGGAAAGATTAAATTAGAATAATTTAATGTCCAATTGATTAGTTGATCAACAATTTAATTAAACCATTAGCCAAGCCTATATAAGGCTCCCATATGTGTCTTCACTCATTCTTTTCTTTATCTCAACACATTTTTGAGCTCACACACAAACCAAACGTGAGAGAGAGAAAGAAGAGAAGTTTGAGCTCAAATTAAGAAGATTGCTAGAGAACTTAGAGAATTTGGCTTGGAACTTCCAACAATTAATCATCTAGAGCATCATTGACAAGCCTAGGTAAGAATTCAACCTTTAGATTGTATAATTATGATGTGCAAGACAAGAACTCTAGAGAATTATGATGGATAATGCAAGAATTAAACTAGAAATGAAGAAGATTAAACCATGTCATGCATGCATGCACGCATATATCAAAGCATATTGAGTTTGAATTTCACTCAAGTCACACATGCATGTGTCCTTCTTGACTTGGTTTAGAGAATTCATTATTTTTCTTACCATTTGACCTTAATTGATCATGTTTCGGAGAACCTAAGTTCATATCAATTCATGCATGGTATTTTCAAGTTATGTTCTTTGAGATTCAAGCTTGGTTTTGTGTAATTGACTTATCTTTGGGCCTTAATTGTGTGAATTGATTTTGAATTCAAGTTGTTTTGCATGTTCACACTAGTTTCCTTCAATTTAGAATTGGAGTTTTGAACTTGGGAGCAAATCTGGAAATTTCAGAATTCTGCTCCTACGCTCGAGCAAAAGAACCTACGCTTGAGCGACCACTTTGAGTGTGTGCACTTCCGCTTGAGCGACCTAAAGTTGGCTTGAGCGACAAGAGTTGCGCTCGAGCGAGGACTTGAGTCTCACGCTCGAGCAACCGTTGAGCGTCCATCTAGCGTGAAAATCATACAACCAGTAATTTTTCAAAGTTTGTAGACTGCTTAAGCGAAAGAAGTTGCATGTCTGCTCGAGCGAAGGAAGTTACGCTCGAGCAAGACCCCTGTTTTCAGCAAGTTTTGTAAAACAAGTTCAAGTGCATTTTGGCATCCACATTGCATCCTAGGCATTCCTAGGCCATGATTAAGACTCAATAAGAAGTTAAGACCTAGAAACACACTATGCATGGAATGAAAGAAGTTAAGTACCAACCGAGTGTGTGTTTAATTATGTGTTTCTGCTATATGTGTGTAGGTCATACGCCACAAGTTATCTGATTTGTCTGTTCTGCAAGTGAAGCCATCTGTGAGTAATAACTTAGTAAAACTATGTTCAACTTTACTTATTTTCTGTATATGGAATAAGATTTGTTCTATGAAATGTTATGTTTGTACTATGAATGATTGTCTAATTTTGATAAGTATTCGGGGATCGAGAAAGTAATCTGTTCCCGGTCTGGAGATTCCTTTATGGAACTAACAAGTTATCTGTACTCAGTCGGAGGTTCCTTTATGGAATTGATAAGTTATCCGTACCCGATTTGGAGGTTTCTTTATGGAACTGACAAGTTATCCGTACCCGGCCGGAGGTTCCTTTATGGGACTGACAAATATGATCTTCGATGCCCCGTATGTGATCTGTTAGCGCTAACGGATGTAAGATTAAGTATGTATTCTGATTTCTATTATTAATTTGAACAAGAATATGATATAAACATGTTCCTTATGTTATGGACACCATCATTCATCAAAACCCTTTACTCTGTTATTATTTATTGGAATTCCGCTCACTCTATTATGTATGTAGGTGAGCAGGCGCGTGACCAGGCCTAAGCTACTGCTTGGAGTTTTGGGTCAGCCAGCCACTGTGCCTCCCAGGGAGGTTCCCTTTGAAATGTTTAGTTTGTAACCTTGCTACAGATGTTTTTTCTTTGTTTTGTTTATCTGTATATTGGGCTAAGTTCTCTTTTGGCTTTATCTGTGTACTTGGGTGACGTAAGACTCATGTATTTATGACGTCACGTATATATATATATATATATAAGTTGTTTTGAAGTTTTTTGTCTCATA